CTGGGCTTTCCACTCGATTCGCTGAACCATATACCGGTGAATACAAGTACTACTGATATGTTCGGCTCTGATGTTTAGCTAAATTTTTAATAATTTTTCACTATATAAAAGAGCCTTACTGGACATAAGGCCGATACACGTTTCGAATATTTCCAGAAAATCTTCTTTCTTACTATTAAATCTTTTGACTTAGAATCGTAGGAGCATCTTCCGGAGTCCTTTCGTGAATAACAAATAATCTGAAATTCTTAACTATTTGGTTAGCTCGTTATTATGCTTATCATTAATTTATTCCAGAAAAGAAGAGAGAAGTTTGAATAGCAGCAAGTGAATTTAGAGGGGCAGAGTCGATAAACTCCATGCTTTGAAACAAGAAGAAGTTTACGATTATTAAATGAAAACAGAAACTCCAGATTCCACATTTCAGTTTCCTGCTGCGATGGAAGAGAATCAAGTCAGAAAATTTCAACTCAACTGGCTACAAATGGTTGGCTTACAGTAAAAAGAAATGTCGGGCCTTTGCAAATATTGTGTTTTATTTGCACCAGAACTCGGTGGTGTTGGATCTAGCCAGGTAGAGTATCATTTTATCTCAGAAAATTTCACTTATATCAGATATATAAAATTTTTAGTAACTCCAAAGTATTACAGATCTGTGGAAGATTTCGGAGTTTCAAAAATAATTTCGATTAGAAAATTATAAAATTCCAAAACTTTTGAAGTTTTGATACTACTGAACGTTTAGATGTTTTAATAAATGTTTGATTCCACAAATTTAAAGCACATTGAAATTTCTCCAAAATTCAACGAATCAATTTCTTTTTGTTCACAGCCCTTGAAAATGTTTGTCAATGTTCCGTTGAACAAATACAGAAAAGCCCTTGAAGACATAAATCATACACAATACCGTCGGTTTTCTGAAGAAAAAGCTCTTCACTACATCAGAAACATCGAAACACAAAATGCCAGTTCCATATATGTTATCCTCGATAAGAAGGAACAAGAAATAGTGGAAAACAATCGGAAGCGTCTAGGCCCAATAGTGAAAACAATCCTTTTTTGTTCACGTAATAATTTACCATTACGGGGACATAGAGGCACTGGTGACATGAAGACTGCATAAAAACAAGATACCGCCCTATCAGGCCAAGAAGGAGATTTTCGAGTACTTTTGGCATTTTGTGTAGAGCAGGTGATAATGACTTGAGACAACATTTGAATACGGCACTCAAAAACTGCAAAAATGATTAGTAATATGATCCAAAACGAAGATATCGATATTATAGGTCAAACGATCCTGTTATAAGTGATCCATCGAATCAAGAAATCAAAATTTTTGGGTTTATTAGTTTGAAGTCCATTATCTGATAGAAGTAATCATAGAACAATTGGCGGCCTTTGATTTGGATATCGCCTACATACGTGGACAAGGGTACGACGGAGGATCAAACTTTTCTGGTAAAGAACATGGAGTCCAAGCATTGCTATCTGAAAAACAACCTTTGGCATTCTACACTCATTGCTTTAGCCACTCATTGAATTTACGTGGCATCAAAATTGTTTTCTATAATTTGCAACTAAACAGTTGACGCAAGTAAAATGGTGCAGCTGACTTTATGTATTCGATATGTCGATGTGTACGAATATGTCATCCGTGAAGATTTTCTTGGGTTCATTAGTTTGAAGTCCATTATGTGATAGAAGTAATCATAGAACAATTGGCGGCCTTTGATTTGGACATCGCCTACTTACGTGGATAAGGGTACGACGGAGGATCAAACTTTTCTGGTAAAGAACATGGAGTCCAAGCATTGATATCTGAAAAACGACCTTTGGCATTCTACACTCATTGCTTTAGCCACTCATTGAATTTACGTGGCATGCGAAGTTCAGGATATTCGAAATATGATTGGGCACAGACTCTTCGGTGATTTTTTTTCACACAGTCTGCAAAAGGAACTCAACTTTTGCAAGATTATTTCCAAAATGCAGCTCTGGATACAAACAAAAATCGTTTGAAAACTCTTTGCACTACTCGTTTTGGGTCGAAAAACATGAGTGTGTGTACACATTTTCTGAATTGCTGCCTTACATTGTTGGAGCATTACAAGCAAGAATGATAGAGACTGTGAGACATCATCTAAGGCGACAAAACTAATGGGTGCTATTGAGAAAACCGAATTTCTCATCTGTCTGCAAGTCTGCACAACAGTCAATGCTCCAGTCGTGACACTGAGCAGGGTTCTCCAGACACCAGAACATCAAATTTTATCAGCCTGAGCTCACGTTGCCAAAGTTATCGACTCGTTACTCGAAACAAGAAAAAATGAAGCATCTTTTGATGAAATTTTCAGAGAACAAGAAAATCGCCGACGAAATTGGTTCGAGTTGAAGCTTCTTCGTTTATATGGTCGCCAAAAAACCGCACCAATCTACAAACCGAGGGTATGACGCTTCTGGGATATTTCCGGGGAGTTTTCCGAATTGTGAACTTCGATTTATAATAGCAAAAATCATGACTAACAGACGTGTATTCGATGTTTTTTCAGGTCCACCATTTATTATCCATTTCTAGATTTCATGATTTCTTTTTTGGGCCCAAGGTTTAAGGGAAAGTTTTTGGATATTCTGGCTTTAGAAAGTTTGATTCCAGCCTATCAACAAAGACTAGCGGACTTAAGTAATGGCAAAAATCAGCTCTAGTGTCTATATTATTCAGCGCGTCTGAATGTAAAATTAATAACAAGAAATCAGAGTGTTGTTATATTCTTTTAATGTCGATCTGCGTAATGTTTATAAAACAGCGCGTTAGCATTCAGTTTCATTTCTAAAAAAATGACCCTTTTATTTCTCAAGGAGTGGAGGGGTTATTTTTTCATTTCGTGCTTACAGTGATATATTATTACCTGGCATATAATGTTCAGTAAATATATATCTTCGTGGTATGAATCAGCCTCTTCCAGTCTAATAAAGACTCTAATGCGTCTATTACAGTCTTTTCACGTCTTCAATGCTTATAACCATGAACTTTCACAATTCTGTGCATTTTTTTTATTTGATGACATATCTATTTCCTTCATGATCATATCGTGGAATAAATTTTTTCATATAAGATAGATATTTGTTAATGGTGTAAAAATATTCACGAAGTTTTTTCTGAACGAAAAGCAAGACACGGATTCAAATTAGAATAATTCTGTTACTTTGTATTGAATAAAAATGTTTCATCTTACAGTCTCTACTTTATTTAGGTTGTATAGACCTATAGTAAAAAACAAAGGTAACAGTGCGCAGAAGCTACTATTGTGCATATAATTGTAAGCTCCTGTTAATATGTGCATCCTTATTGCCAGCAAAATAGTGCGCACTATTTGCCGTCTGTCCCCGATCATACCACTGCCGGGTGGTACAAGAATTGTAGAGACGGCGAATTAAAGAAAGTCCAAACTGCATTGGAGACACTACGGAACATTAAATCGAGTCAATCATTTTTCCCGATGTAGAAACATTGCTGCAAATATTTCCAACGATCCCTGTCACCTCAGCAACTGCTGAACGGACTTTTTCTCCGCTAAAGATTGAAAAGCTACCTGCGTGTAAACATGTCTGAGCCTAGACTTAATGATGGGCTAGCTTTGGGCAACATTCACAGAGAAATTGACGTTTCTGTTAGAGAAGTCGTTGAAACATATTGTCAAGTCTTGTTTTACCTTTGTCCAAAGTAGGTAATCGTAGCTCGAATACTGACCTGAGGCCTATTAGCATTTTGCATATACTTTCCGAGTTACTGGAAAAGGCAATATACCTATACACAAATTTATTTATTTATTTATTTACTAGTATACAGTAGAACCTCGATTATCTGGCACTCGATTATTCGTCAACTTCCGTTATTCGTCACCCATCCCGTTGTTCAAAATGAATTCGGAGAATTTAATTCGCAGCCCGACGACAAATATTTCTTAGAACTAAACTGACTTATTTTTACTTACCCGCATTTGCTCATACACTTACACAAGGAGTAGGATTACCGCGCTCGGTAATCCTACGCTACGTCATAAGTATGTATATAAGTCATAAGTATATATGTACGTCATATAAGTCGAATTTCCCACCACTCTCGTATTTTCTATTTTTCTCCTTTTTGCTTTACCTTTTAGCAGAGCCAGTTAGTCCTCCGAATCCGATGCAGCAGCACAGCTCGATTTACAATGTTCGATAATAAAAGAAAGCGCGTAGTGTTCGATTTGGCTCAAAAATATGAAATAGTGTGTCGATTAAGAAAAGGAGAAAGCACTACAGCACTATCAAACATTTATAATGTTCCCCGAACTACAATTAATGATTTTAAAAAACATGGAGATATCATTGAAAACCATATCAGCAAAATGGAATCAACAGATGGGGATGTCACTCATCGAAAAACGATGAAACTAGCTACCCACAATGAATTAGATGAGGTTGTTTTTTATTGGTTTGCCCAGCAGCGAAGTCAAGAAATTCCTTTATCAAGCCCAATTATTCAAAAAACCCATTAGAGTTCAATAAAAAATTGCCAAACTCCGATCCATCTTTTAAAGCAAGCACAGGATGGTTGGACAAATTTAAAACTCGACACCGAATAAGGCAGTTATCTATTGAAGGTGAAAAATTAAGTGCTAATAGTGTCAGTGTGGTAGAATATGTTAACAAGCTTCGGTAGGGAATTCAAAAGCGTGGTTTACAAAGAAATCAAGTTTACAACTGTGATGAAACTGGCTTGAATTGGAAGGCGCTTCCTCAAACGACATTAGCTTCATCATCTGAGACGTCAGCACCTGGCTATAAAGTTATGGTTTGTGCAAATGCTAGCGGTGATCATAGGATTCCGCTGTTGGTCATTGAAAAAGCAATAAAACCTCGTGCTTTCAAAAACATGGATTTGGGATTATTGCCTGTGAAATATAGTGCCCAAAAAAGTGCATGGATGAGTCAAGAGATATTTATTGATTGGTTTAAAACATGTTTTCTCCCTGAAGTTAAAAAATACTTGAAACTACGTGAAAATAATCTTCCCGAAGAAGCTATGCTTTGAATGGATAATGCGCCAACTCATCCTATTGAAGAGTTGAAGTCCGAAGATAGTAAAATACTTGTCACTTTTTACCTGCAAATACGACATCCTTGATTTAGCCTATGGATCAAGGGGTTATTGAAAGTTTTAAGAGAAGATATCGAAAGGCTTTTATTCAAGGACTTATCTCTGAAACAGATGCGGACTTAAAACAGTATTGGAAAATGTTTACCATAAAAGATGCCATATATATTGCCACTGGAGCTTGGAACAGTATACCTGCAGAAACCTTGAATAAAAGTTGGTATAAATTGTTGCCTACCGAAAACACAGCTATGGATCAGAAAGAAAATCGAACACCTAATATTTCATCCATAAAGCAAACATTTCCATATCTTCCTGGATTTGAAGACATCTCAGAAAATGACATTTCTAATTGGTTAGATATGGACAAACAGGATGTAGGATATGATATTTTACCAGACGACGAATTAATTGACCACGTTTTAGAAGCCAATGATCATGAAGATTGTGATGACTTACCTGATAATCCGGAAGGTAGCATTAGCCATGTGGAAGCTGAGGATATGGTAACAAAAATTATACAATGGTACGAAAATCAAGAGGAAGCAGAACTCGTTCAACTAGTACATATACACTATCCGAACGGTTTATTACACCATTTAACGGATAGAAACACAGGAATCAATTTTAAGACAAAATTGTTCAAAAATAACATAAAATTGCCAAATGACTTAACCTACTGTTATGTAAAATCTTTTTAAGCTACGCAAATTACAAAAGAACAAATCTACTGCGTTTCTTGCACGTTCATAGTTGTTACATACTACATATATCGGAGAGGAAAGCAACGCATTGGTTCTAGCTACGTTTAAGTAAAAGTATTTTGAATTGGATCGCGTCTTAGCATTAGGTACATGAATAAGAATCTTACCGATTAAATATTCACAATCTATGGCATTGTTAAGCATTTTATATAAAAATACACAAGCAGCGTAGTTTCTGTGCTTCTCCAAGTTACAGAGGTTATATCTGGTAAGTAATACATCATGCCTGAAGCCAACGTCTGGATACGTACCATCTTCCTTATGCCACAAATATTTCACAAACCGCTTCTGAATACCTTCAATTTTAATCGAGTGAACTTCATGAACAGGATACCATATTATAGAGCAGTATTCAATTTTGGATCGAACAAATGAATTATATAACGAGATAATGGTATGCACATTATTGAAATACCTACAATTTCTGATAATTAAGCCCAAACTTTTATAGGCCTTGCTAACAACAGAATCAATATGCGAAGCAAATGTAAGTTTGGTATCAAAGGATATACCTAAGTCATGAAACTCTTCACACATGTTAAGTTGCGAATTATCAGTGTTATATATGAATCTGATTGGAACAAGTTTGCGCGTAATAGACACAGTGTAGCATTTATCAGCATTAAGGTACAGCTTGTTACGGTGACACCACTTATTTAGGTTGCTCAAGTCGTTTTGCAATATATTACAGTCGTCCATGGTTTCAATTTTACAAAAAATCTTCAAGTCATCTGCATATAGAAGGCAGCTACTGTATAGCTCCCCAACGACGTCATCAATGAAAAGAAGGTTTAATCTGAGTGGAGGTGAAGCCCCTGTATTCGACTTTCAAGCATCCGTTTGTAAGATAAGATTTGAAAAACTTCAAGAATTGATAGGTCAACCCTCGCGTAGCTAATTTCTTTAACAAAATACCGTGATCTAGCTTATCAAAAGCCTTCGAAAAGTCAACGTAAGCAACATCTACTTGCACCCCTTCATCAACAACTTCAGAGTAAAACTGTTTAACAGACGCTAGATTAGTTAAAGTAGATCTGCCATGGAGAAATTTCGCGCTTAACATGGGAGAAAATTATCATGCAGTATACATTCGAAAACCTTACCGACGTTGCTTATAATCACAACAGCTCTATAACTCTGAATGACACAACGTTCGCCTTTTTTAAATATGGGAGCAATCCTAGATGTTTTCCAAGCCATGGGAAATGTTGTAGTATTAAGAGATATTTTATACAGATAAGCTAAAGGTTCAGCTAAAACAAAAGCACAGTCCTTCAGCAAACATGCAGGGATTAGATCTGGAGTGGAAGATACCTTGGGTTTAATCTTTTTCAAAGCGGCAACAACCTGTTTTTCAGTAATCATTGGTATATTCAACGGTAATGAGGCGCAGTCAGGTGAGTCTGCAGGTACAAAGTTTGTGGAAGGTGAGTATGTGGACTTGAAAAAATCTGCAAAAGCGTTGACAATATCTTGCGGTTCGTTAAGTTGAGTTTTATCAAAGATCATGGTATCAGAGATATGAGAAGTATTTCTCAAAAAATCAATAAAACACCAAAATCTTTGAGGGTTAGTAGCTATGCCCTGTTCAATTTTAGCGGTATACCTTTGAAATTGAATATTAATGCTAATTTTTATGTTTCTTCGAAGATTTCGAAAAGCGTCGCAGTCAACAGGATTACAAGTTCTTTTACACCGTTTCCATAACCTTCGCTTTTCCTTGATTTTAGTAATAATGGTATTGTTGAAGCAAGCAGGGTAAGAAGTGTTCTTTGGCAGTGTTCGGGTAAATTCCGATTGATTGCCGAGAATAGTATTTCATAGAACTGATCACACGCTTCGGTGATGCTACCAATGTGCATGTTAGCTCTTCTATAATTGTACTCAGGACTTGCATTAACGTCAAATTTGTCGAATTTATCTTCCATAGAAAAAAATATATCAAGCGGGGGATGATAGCTATCAACTGGAAGCAAAATATCTGACGCCGAATTCACCTTCAATGCATTTTTACCGAATACTAAATCTAGAATCCGGTTGTTTGAGTTTTGGACAAAGTTGTGTTGAGACATATTCAGAAAATTGATCAGATTATTGAGTGCCGATATATAGGTGTTGCTGTAATTGTTATCCTTGATGTAATTAATGTATGACGGTATATTGAAATCACCTAGGAAAATAGCATTGTCAGTGTTGAGAAAGTACAAAGAAAACAGTAGTTCTATCAGAGATTCATATGTAGCAACTGACAAGTTAGGTGGCACATAAAGAAGGACAATGGAAACGACTGACCGAGGCAAGTGGACCTTGACCCCAACGATATCAATTGCAGAAAGTGAGTTTGTAAAGTTGAAATCCAGACGTTTCACTTTATATGCCTTCCGGGTGGCCAATAGCACACCTCTACCTCTGATGGTATCAGTAGTTTCAAAGTCTCGATCGCATCTAAAAACATTATACTCTGGGCATATAAGTTCTGCATCATAAATACTGTCGTCCAGCCAAGTCTCACTCAGAGCAAGTATATCATACGTACACGTATAAGTTGTATTCAGAAGTACATTTGATTTTTTTCTTAAACCCCTAACATTCTGATAATATACTGCAAAGTCCGCTTCATGATCAGAATCATCCATAACAGTGTTTCCAATGACTTTGCTTGATTGCTATTCCGTACCCAGAAGTAGCTTTTTATATTCATTTAACTTCAATTTATAATAGCAGCACTTATCTGTATCCCAAACAGCATGATCAACATTAGTATTTTTAGCAGATTCACAATTCACACATTTTAGCTGATTGGAACTACATTCAGAAACCTTATGACCACCGGTACACTTAATACAAGCTTGATCAGATTTCCTACAGTCTTTTACATAATGACCTAGTCCACAACACTTGTAGCAGATTTTCAAATTCAATGCATCATACACAAAGCAGCTATCAACATTCACTAGAACACTACCTTGATCTAACAGGCCCTAATGCGCGACATGGTCCAATTCCAAAAGAGCCTGGTGGACATCCTGATATTTTTTTGTCGGCCACATCTTAAGAACCCTAAAGTCACTTGATTTATCAAGGATACGATTTTGGGATTTCAATATAGTGACTAATCTGTCGTTATCGATATTATCGAACAACCCTACGATCCTCACGCGCGGGTTGTGTTTCTTTATTTCCTTGACCTCATATTTGTCACCTGATAAATGCCGAGAAGCCAGCTCCTTCAATTTACTTGCATGGTCAGGATCGTCGCATTTTATTACCAAGCCCTCGTTCCTCACATGTTTCACTTGAGAAAATTTTATATCATTATCAAATGGCTTAACATTTTGACGAACAATATTTCTCGTTTCAATATTCGATTGATTAGTATTCTTCGGCTTGATGATAACATTAACATTCTTTTTAACAACTGATGCATAAGACGTAACCGCCTGACGAGTGGTTTGTTCCACGTCTTCTTGAACCTTGCATATGAGTGTAGATCTTGCCTCAGAAAATATGTCACGAATCCCATTTATAAGTTCCTCTACTTTGGCTTCTAGTATATTCTTCATGAAATTCTCATAATCTTTTATATTTTGGCTACAATTGGGACAGTACCAAAAAAGACCAGGCGTTTTTAACACTTTCAGTCCGTCAGCTGGCACATCAGCACAAGAAATATGGTAATTTTGCCCACAAAAACCATTGCAAGAAATAGCTTGTTTGGTTCGTCCTATCGCTGTATTGCAATCAGGACAATTATTATTTGCCAGGATTTCTACAAAAACGGTACAGTTGCTGATGTTACAAACTCACCAACATCAAAAGGTGCATGAGCTGCTTCACCTCACAAAAGAATATATTTTTCACTTAGCAAAAACCACTAGTAAATGAAGGTTAAAACAGAGAGTAACGAGAACATGCTACACATACAAAACTCGACTCCCTGTTGTCAAATAAATGAACATGTTTTGAAATGTGGTATACTACCATCTAGAAAATGTGGTTTTAGGAAGGGTTATAATACTGCTGCAGCATTGTTAGATCTAATTGATAATATTTTCAGGGCTTGAAATAATTATCAAACTACTTCCTTGATTCTTTTGGATTTTTCTAAAGCGTTTGACACCATCAGCCACTCACACTTAATAGCCAAATGTAAATTTTATGGTTTCTCTGAATCATCAGTTGCTCTAATAAACAGCAGAAATCACATGGTGGCGCTGGTTGCCAATGAGCGGAATCAACTCTACGAGGGACCAACGATATTTTATGAGGAAATTTCTGAGATAGTCGTTAATAATACTATAACTTTAGTGTCCAAAAGGTTTCAACACAATACTGAATCGCTAAGAAAGAAAGATATAATACGTGTGAAATTATACAATCAATAAACTATGAAATTTGCTAAAAGAAAATGATTAAAAAGGGTTTGGCCTAGAAATCGCCACTCTACCATTAATAAGGAGAAATTCAAATTACGTGATTTTGGCACGCGACTATGGTATTTTACACAACATGCTAGAGAGTTAAAGTCACGTTAGCCTTAAACTATTTTCGAAAAGGTCTGTTTTTCTATTCTCTTGGGAATACTCAGTATGTGGAAGTTGGAGCTACGAGACGTGGGCTCAGGGTACAAATGGCGGGAGCGGGAAGGAATAATGTCACTATAAATTGTCACGCGATACAGCGGTGCAAGATTAAACGTAGAGATATTTTCAAGAATACACAATACATTGAATAGCTAAAATGCGCTGTACTTTTTGTTTTTATGGTCGATCTAAATGATGTGTCCAATAATGTGGTTT